CAGAAGTGTCACCCCAAAAACCCCTCCGTACTTGTGCCAGGAGAAAAAACATAAAATAGCACTCACTGTTTCATTTGAAAACCAAAACGCGTGTAGGTCCCTGCAAAATCTTGAAGCGTATACATAAAATGTAGAAGTGCATAAAGCAGCTGCTATATGTGCCAACACTTACTATGTAGACGCGTTTTGAGCTCTTATGGTATATACTAGAGGGTACGCGAACTAATGTTAAGTGTAAGTAAAAGTAAGATCCCTTTTCACGCCTTAGGCGCATCGGGCATCTGGGCATATTTTTACAGATCAATCGGCACTGGATGGGTAATGTGGTCAGCATTACGCAAGCTATCTCTTACTTCCCCAGGTCAGCCATCCTGGTACCCGTTTTAGGCTGGGTCGACCAGCGACGCCCTATACCACGATACAAATCCCCGCAGCCAGCAGTGGGTTTTGATCGCGGTGCTATTGGAATTACAAGTCGGACTCACAACTCCTAAGCCACGGACGCCAATGTTAAGTGTACTTACGGGATGAACTAGCGATACCTATTGTTACAGTGTATTAAACTATTGTTAAGTGTGCTTACAGGATAAATGAACCTATTGTTACAGGTATTGAGCTACTGTAACATGTATACAATATTTACATGATAAATGAACTATAGTCTGTTCAGTAACTCATAAATACACCTGCAAGCGGTTTTCTTAAAAACTGCTTGTTAGATTGCAACGATTTTTTTTTTTTTGTATGCAGCCTTAAAATCTACTTGACTCAAAAAAGGGGTATTCTTTAGTTATTAGATATTTTAATAATTATATTAATTAATTATTAATTAATTACATATTACTTAAATCCTCAGGATACTAAATACTAGCCAATTACTTTGATCTTTTCAAACCATTGTAAATAAATTGAGTTAACTTTTAGATTTCACAGTAAAAACCTCAAATTTTTTTTGAGGGGGGGGGGGGGTTGTAGGGGGAGGGAGGGGTCAGGGGTCAGAGTCGTTGTCTTCATTAGACATTAATAGGTAAAGTAAATTTTTGTGTTATTATTTTTGTTCCATTGAGTTGAGTTGAGATGTGTCAAGAAAGTCATCACAGCACTCGGGGCATTCCTATAGGCGCTTCGTCCCCATCTTCAGCAGCCAGCGCAGACTTCCAATTTTAATGGTACCAGACGCAGTCTCATTTTATGTCCATCTTCCCATTCCACTAAGTGTAGTGTGCCGGCCAGGCTCTTTGGTCACACCCAGGCGCATCATTCTCTCCTGGCCATTATCATCTATTTTCTATTCTGACTTCATTACTTGTTTCCAAAGGGCTCTGACCAAATCTGCCTTGTCACATATAAATTCACCACCCAGTGGTGCAGATACAGCTAATCTGTCTGCCTTGCTCAATTGTAAACATGTCCCAAATATGCAACAGTTAGTAATCTCTTTCAGTCACCATTAGACCCCACTGTGTATCTAAACTGCACAGCAAACTGTATTATGGTTGACACATTTGGATATGGAGATGTATTTGTTGCAATTGTAGATGTACCTAACGTGTTGATGATATTCAACCACTAATCGAAAAATGGTTTTACTCATTCCGAATATGACGATCCCAAAAGGTTGATAATTGTAACTGGCTGAGCAAATTGTAAACCATCTCGGTGCCAATACTCGTCTTCCTCTCGGAACACTTATTCAACACATTATTTTTTCTCCAGAAATGAAGTTTTTTTTTTTTTTTTTTTTTGAGACGGACTCACGTGTCAGAAATTCAACATCTTCTTCTTCTTCTTCTTCTTCTTATTTACATCCTCTTTTACCGCTGTGGATGTCGAGGGAGATATAAGGTTCTGTTTCTAGCTCTTCTGGCTGCCTCGACCATAGGCACATCGTGCTGTTGTAGAGTTTCTCTGATGTTATCCTTCCATCTTGTTCTTGGTCTACCCCGTGCTCTACGTCCTTCTTCTCTTTCCATGTATGCTTTGTATGGTATGGTGTCACAAGGCATTCTCTCTAAGTGGGCAAACCATTTCACTTGCTGTCTTTGTATGTAATCCAGAATTGGTTCTGTGCCGACTTGTTCTCTTATGATCTCATTCCTGATCTTATCTCTTGTGGTCACTCCTACAGCCCTTGTCAGACATCTCATTTCCGTGGTTACTAATTTTCTTTTATGGTTTGTTGTGAGTGACCATGTCTGGCACTGGTAGCACAGAGTTGGAATAAATATGCTTTGAATAAGATGTCTCTTTGTGCTGATTGGGATTGTCTAATGCTGTAAGAGGGGAGCTAGCTGTCCCAATACTTGGTTTGTTTTACTGCATCTAATGTCAATTTCTTTATCCAATTTCCCATCTTCGGTAAATGTAGTTCCCAGATATTTAAACTTAGATGCCTGTTTAATGCCTTTGTATTCTATTGCTATGTTTAGATCTGTCTTCTTTTTTCCTATTGACATTACTTCTGTCTTTTTAGTGTTGATTCTCATATTATTTGTTTTACATTCTTCATTCAACATCACATATTTTAAATGTACTGTTTTTTTCAGCAACTTGAATTTTGGTTTTATGCCAGACAAGCTCTATCGGGTTGAGGTGTAAATGATATTGAGGGAGTCGCAGAGAAGTGTGACCTTATTCATTAATGATTTTGTCAGTTGGATACACATTTGTCTTCTTTGTTTTCCTCACAAGCAACAACTCTGCCTTCAGATATATGTCGTTAAAGTCGACTTTTTCCTTAGAAAGCCATGCATTAATTCGATCTTTTGTATTTGATGTCGTTGGTACTTTGTCTTTCCTCTGATACGGCATTATCCATTAATAAGCATTATGGTCTGCCCAGAATTCGAAGAATATCGTTCTCCATCCAGTGTCTGAAAATGTGTCCATTTATTTGAATGCGGTAGTCCCTATCATCCGTACGTTTCGATAGGAAAATAAGTCCAGCATCCCGGATAAGGCCTTTTTAACTTCTTCCTGCATAAGTAAATATAATACACTGGCTGTTTGGAATGTTTCTTTTCTGTTCACCGTTAACTTATTGTAATTCTTTAGCATAGGTATGGTGAGCATTAACCTATGATTCATCCAAATATTCAGTATCATAGCCTTGCTTCCGTTGCTCACGGGTCTGCCCCAGGTATTTGCTTTGACTAACAATCAAATGTGGCTTTTCACAAACAATATTCCTTCCACCTACAATTTTCATGAAAGTGAACCCAGTGGCACTTACAGTTTTCCGCCGACTATTTTTTGATTTGTTGAGATTGCATTGTGATTTTAATGTTAATTTCAGTTTTCGGAGAGTAACAAGTTGATTTGTCCCCCAAAATTTTAAGATCTCATGTCTAATGACATCTACATCAAAGTCGCCTACTTTCCTTTTCCTTCTTTGCTTGACATGAGTGAACTCTGTGTCCTGTCTAATCCAACGGTTAAAAGATGCTCTATCCAGACCAAGTGCCAATCGTGTTCGGTTCTCTGGGCCATGAATATCACAATATAAATGAACCATCTAAGAATCCCCGCGGCACGCTGCCGTGACGTGCCGTAGCAGTCCGCTGTGCCGCAACTGCTCTGGCCCTCATGATTTCAAGTAGTGACCCCTGGCAAACGTTGATCCAGATTTCCGGAAGCCGAACCCTAGTCGAAGTGTGCTCAAATTGCTCAGGGGGACACAGCGCTAGGTACCTTGGATGCCCGTACCTGAAGGAGACCACCCACGGAGCACCCAGAACAGCCCAACCTTCAGTCGGTCGCTGCAGCAAAAACAACTAAGCTACAGAACCAAATAGCGCAAATTAAAGCCGAAATTGAATTGCTCAGAAGGAAAAAGCAGCATCCAAAGTCAAGCAAGCCGAGGAAAGAGAGGAGATGACAGGACTACGAAGCCTAATCCAAGACTTTCTCAAGCCCCAGGAACGTATGGAGGCAGAAATCGCTGACATAACTCAGTTCAAGTCAGACATCAAGGCCGTGCTGTCATGTATCCAGACCCAAAAAAGAGAAGACAGCCGAAGAAGAGCAGAACAACTACAAAGCGATCAGAGTAAGCCAGGAACTACTCTCGACGGAGGTGACACTACTCAAAGAGGCAACCCAAAAGCTGCAGACATAAGTGACCCAGACAAGAGTCACCCTCGAAGAGAAAGAGAGGGCCAAAAAGGAGGCCACCAGGCGGCCGACTCCCCAACATGAAAACAAAGACGATGCCACAACCAGTGAAAAAATCAATAAAGAAATCTGCGAGGCCGACCTCCAAGCGATACTTGAAGATTTTAACACGCAAGTGCACCGCACAAGCTGGGGATGGAAGAAGACGGCAGCCGCTATCTCATACGACTGGGAGGAGCTCGAGATGAAAGAGCCACCACCCGAAGAAATAGAAAAGCGCCAAAAATTGACATTTTCTAAGATAAAATTAACGCAGCCCTGAATCAACTACGCGCGCAAAAGCAAAAACAGAGGAAACATGGCACGCGCAACAGAAGAGGTTATTGCCAGTTCTAAAGCCACAAAAGAGAGCCCACTAAACAAGCCGCCATCTTCACGAACAGTTCAACATCGTTCGCCAGACCTCACAGCAGAAGACAGCCATGATGAGACCCCGCCCAACCCCTTTCCAGGCCGCCCCAGGCAAATATGGCAGCCCTTCTTAGGGCTGCCACACCCACTACCAAAAAGCTGTACTACACCGGCCAAGCCTGATCGAGCAGACATGACACAGCAGCAAATACCTCAATTTAAGCGAAAATAGTCGCCACAACGAAACGAATGGAATCAGATAGCAAAGAAACCGTCTTCAAAAAAGCAGGGCAGCTAAAAGAGGACCAAATTTGACATTTGTGTTTGGTTTCTACGATTACGAACGAATCCCCGAGGTAGTGCTGTTCACAGTAAAACGGTAACTTTCTGCATAGTTATACATTTCCATCCTAAATTCATTTTGAAGTTGATGTCTATGTCAGCTTTTATAAGCTATCTGTATGACAAAATAACTCACCACAAATTTGTGGATGCCCCTTTGACTAAACAACCTTAACGGACGTCTTTTTTTTTTTTCCTTCAGGTCACTAACAGTGCGACTTTTCACGAGAAAACCATGAAATGACGTAGGTTTTCTTTGAACCTCTGTTGAACCAATTATAGTGTGCATTACTTCCTGAAACTAGTAAAAGTAAATCTTCCAAAAGTGTACCAAGACTGTTTCGTGATAAAAAATATATATCGTAAAGAAAATCTAAACTACATATGAAATTCTTTAGCGAAAAAAAAATTTCCTTAACTTCATGGATATTCTAAGGCAGCATGCAAAAAAAAAATGAATGCGATCTAACAGGCAGTTTTCTACAAAATGGATTGCATGTTTGTTTATGAGTTGTGAAACGAACTATAGTTTACCTGTTGTTACAGGTTCTTTTAAGGAGCTTTAGCTACTGTTGAATGTAAACTCACTAACAACGCTAACAATGAATATGACATGGTGAGATCTGGAACTTGTAACTACTGCTGATTCTTACACAGGTCCGAGTCAATTTAACCCAAGCATTGAGGCTAGAGGATTTAACCATAAGGTGGGTGATAACGTCTAGAAACACTACCAGCACCCATCCATTCACGAATTTCTCAATGCTCACACCCATTCATATATTTATCTTTACTATCCACACGTGTCTCTCTCCCTGCCTACATCCACACATTTGCTATGCATTTTGCCCCGTCCTTCCACACATATTTTCCTTTCGCTATCTATCTATCTATCTATCTATCTATCTATCTATCTATCTATCTATCTATCTATCTATCTATCTATCTATCTATCTATCTATCTATCTATCTATCTATCTATCTATCTATCTATCTATCTATCTATCTATCTATCTATCTATCTATCTATCTATCTATCTATCTATCTATCTATCTATCTATCTATCTATCTATCTATCTATCTATCTATCTATCTATCTATCTATCTATCTATCTATCTATCTATCTATCTATCTATCTATCTGTCTGTCTGTCTGTCTGTCTGTCTATCTATCTATCTATCTATCTATCTATCTATCTATCTATCTATCTATCTGTCTGTCTGTCTGTCTGTCTGTCTGTCTGTCTGTCTGTCTGTCTGTCTGTCTGTCTGTCTGTCTGTCTGTCTGTCTGTCTGTCTGTCTGTCTGTCTGTCTGTCTGTCTGTCTGTCTGTCTGTCTGTCTGTCTGTCTATTTATCTGCCTGCCTGCCTGCCTGCCTGCCTGCCTGCCTGCCTGTCTGCCTGTCTGTCTGTCTAATTTATCTTCCTGTCTCCTGTCCTCTAATCTGGTGCCTGTCTGTCTAATCACATGATCTACTTGTACTTTCCTATCCTAAAATTCAGAATCAGACAGACGGATGGTTTATGTCAAGTTTACTTCATCATTCACGGGGATGCACAACTTGTGTCTGCTTGGCTGGTCCTCTGGGCTCACCTGCAGATAGTTATCCACAACACGTCATCTGAGGTCGATGTCCTGTTTGAGAGCAAAGGAAGGCGTTACAAAGGTAATATCGCCATAGATGTGAATGTTTTATGTAAAATATGTGATGGCGAATGGCCAGGTGTATCGTTACACATGAAAAATAACCAGGTGTTTGGTTGAACATTCGTTAAAGCAATGTATTTGAGCACGGAACAAGATTTTGAAAGCAGTCTAACGATGTGTGTAATTGTCAGATTGTTCTTGTTCTTGTTCTTGTTCTTCTTGTTCTTCTTCTTGTTCTTGTTCTTGTTCTTCTTGTTCTTCTTCTTCTTTTTTTCTTCTTTTTTCTTCTTCTTCTTCTTCTTCTTCTTCTTCTTCTTCTTCTTCTTCTTCTTCTTCTTCTTCTTCTTCTTCTTCTTCTTCTTCTTCTTCTTCTTCTTCTTCTTCTTCTTCTTCTTCTTCTTCTTCTTCTTCTTCTTCTTCTTCTTCTTCTTCTTCTTCTTCTTCTTCTTCTTCTTCTTCTTCTTCTTCTTTCTTCTTCCTTCTTTCTTCTTCAGTATTATTATTATTATTATTATTAATATTATTATTATTATTATTATTATTAATATTATTAGAAGTATTATTATTATGCTCTTCTTGTTTCTCGTATTGCTGATATTGTTCTTGTCTAGTCCCTCCCCTTTCACCTACTGCTACTGCCTCACCACCACCCTCACCCCCACCCTCACCACCACCCTCAAACCCACCCTCACCGCCACCCTCACCACCACCCTCACCCCCACCCTCACCACCACCCTTACCACCACCCTCACCGCCACCCTCACCCACCACCCTCACCCCACCCTCACCCCACCCTCACCACCACCCTCACCACCACCCTCATCACCACCCTCACCGCCACCCTTACCGCCACCCTCACCACCACCCTCACCCCCACCCTCACCACCACCCTCACCGCCACCCTTACCCCCTCACCGCCACCCTCACCACCACCCTCACCACCACCCTCACCACCACCCTCACCACCACTCTCATCACCACCCTCACCACCACTCTCACCACCACTCTCATCACCACCCTCATCACCACCCTCATCACCACCCTCATCACCACCCTCATCACCACCCTCACCGCCACTCTCATCACCACTCTCACCACCACTGTCATCACCACTCTCACCACCACCACAACTACTAACAGGGCTTTTCTCTGGCAGGAAACAATACCGGCACCTTTTTCTGTGCATTACGTGTTTCCGGACTACTATGATGAACAGTGTGTGGTGAATACAGGCAACTTAATAATATGGCCCGCCCACTTGCAAAGAATGCTTTGATACGTCATACCGTGCAAGACGTTTTCCAAAAGAGGAGAAGGACGTCAATGTGCAGTGACATTAATTGTGATAACAGAACATAAAATAACATCTTAGTAGGGAGTCGGCAGTACGAAACCCAAGTTCAAGGTGTCTCCTTCGTGCCAAAGAACTGCATGGCTGTTGGGTGAACAGTCGTTAACGATGGCAGGCAGGTCGTTGTAGGGGCGACGCCTGCTGGTGGATGTAATGTCCTAAGTCCCTTCCCCAGCTAATAATGAGGGTACTGCTGGGGTGACCGTTTATTAACCCTCATATAATTCCTCATATAATTCTTCCGGTCAAAATGGACGCTAGGTACGGCCACCTTTTTTTTTTTTTTTAAAGCCGTGGCAAATTTTTTTTTTTTTTTTTTTTTGGCCAGACGGTGGCCGTTGCATTTTTGCTCAATTTGTAGACTGGAAGGATGTAGTTTCGTCGCCCAGCTTCTGAGTTGAGTGCATGGCGTGACACTGTGAGCTGCGTTTGTTTTTCGTTGGCACAGGAGCGGAGCATATGTGGGGTGACCCGTTTGCTATGAAGCTGAAACTAGGATTACCAGATTACCAGATTACCAGACCACAAACAAGTTGAAAATAGTTGCTTTATTAATATCTTACCCCAGATGACGTCACTGGACAGTGCAACATTTTAAAGGGTCGTAAGACTGGGTTTCCCGGCTTTCTGATGTTTTTAACGACCCCAAAACATCTAGAACTGGCCCTAACCCCAATCCACCTATTTCCCACGAGAGAGTGTAGCCTAGCTGCCACGACTGCATGCAGCCTAGATCCCACGACTGCATGCAGCCTATCTACCACCCCTTTAAATATTACTGTCCCGTGGCCCGTGGCTTTCTTCTGTTTGGGGTAGGATATTATTAAAGCACCTGAAAAGACAATGTAGTAGAAACTATACACCAGCCCGACCATTCTATGGTCGAGGCGGACGGAAGACAAAGAAGCAGAACCTTATATTTCGCTCGACAACCGAAGTGGCGAAAGAGGAAGTGAGTGAAAAGTAGAAAACCGGTTCCTTTTTAGACAGAAAGAGTTGAGTAATGACACCCAGCCCCTCTCCAAAGGAATATAAAAAGCCCTGTCTGCTACAAATACTGCAACCGACTCAGCCAATACTATTACTTCTCCTCATTCTCCTCATGCTTTTTCCTCTGCCTCTTGTTCGTCTTACCCGGAAATACAGATGTTACAACAGGGTAAGACATACTAGTCAGCATAGATTGTTACGTCTTCAGCTCGCGGCCTAAGATAGTAGTAACAAAACCCCCACGTCCACCCATAGAAGGATGTTATAGAGATCATCTGGTGCATCCCAAGGCCTAATAAAATATTAGGCAATAACGAGCTCAGTCTAGCATGACCAAAACGGCAAGCGTGTGCTAATGTATAAATTTAAAAAAAAAAAAAAAAAAAACTAAAGATCCTTTTTCACGCCTGTAAGCGCATCGGGAATATGGAAAGAGCACAAGGTGAGTAATGTGGTCAGCATTACACCCGTCGTCTTTACTTCCCAAGGACAGCCATCCTGGTACCCATTTTAAGCTGGGTTGACCTGCGACGCCTCATACCATGATACAAATCCACGCAGCAAGCAGTGAGTTTTGATCGTAGTACGTTGGAATTACGAGTCGGCTCGCAATGCCAAAGCCACAGTCGCCGTGTGCTAATGTATAATGCTAGGGAAAAAACGGATAGTTATCGGATGGCGCCCTTTTTATTAGTTGAGGATAAAGCAGATACGACTAAAGACTATCGGTGATACAGATGCAAAAGATTCTCTCTTTCTATCTCTCTCTCTCTCTCTCTCTCTCTCTCTCTCTCTCTCTCTCTCTGTCTCTCTCTGTCTCTCTCTCTCTCTTTCTTTCTTTCACCCTCTCTCTTTCTCCCCCTCTCTCTCTCTCCTCCCCTCTCCCTCTCTCTCTCCCCCCCTCTCTCTCTCTCTCTCTCTCTCTTGTTTTATCCCACTAGGACATCACGCAGAGCGATAAACACCCGGTGACACAAAGTCACCCGTGCAGAGGTACCAGAAACCCCTTTCAGCCGCCAGGCCATATTTATGGCCCGCCTATATTCAGGGTTCCCAGCAAAAGCCAGGGTGTTGCTTCAAAAGACGAAAAGTTGCATCCCACATGGGGACGATTAACTATATATAGAGTCCCAGTGTATTCTAGTGTATTCAGTTTAGCAATATGACTATGAATGTCAAAATTATCTACATTAGCATTTCATGTTTTTTTTTTTTTTTTTTTTTTTTTTTTAAATAGTATACTAATTAATGAAAAATTGTGACGAGATTCACGGACCTTCTTTTTTAACCCTAAAGACATATTAAGTATACAGTGCCATACAAATGTTTTTATTTACCGATTGGTTCTTGTTGGATGATGTGGCAATTGTTCACCTGGTTAACTTGGATTCCAGTATTTGTTTCCAGTACTCATTGTTTGGCAGCACTAACATGAGAGTCCAAGGCAAAAAATGTATGAAATAAATTGCTAAATGAATTAATGTTTAAAATGAAAGTCGGAGTGATAGAAATCGACAGAACTAGCTTAATGGGAAGCAATAGCGACAACAGGTTTAAAATAATGAATAATGCCTAAAGTTCATATATCAAAAAGGCGTTACTTTAGGACATGTATGGACATTTAAGTATCTAGGGACATGAAAAACATCGACTGAAGATGTGTCTAAGAGATAAAGTTCAAATTGGGACCAGACAAGTGGAACACCTTGTACGGAGGAAAAGAACAGCTTGTGAAAACATGCATATTCCACTACATGGCATTGGGCCAAAGGGCGAAAGCTCATGCGCCGCTGGATCGATAACAACAACAACAACAACAAGTATCTAGGGACATTAAAAACATCGACAAAAGATGTGTCTAAGAGATAAAGTTCAGATTGGGACTGGCTAAAGTTGCATTTTTATAAAATAAAGAGCATTTTATGCAATAAATCCATGTCACTGGAAGTAAGAAAAGAAAAATTGTTTCAAGCATGTAGGGGAAACGGGTCTAAGGCTGGCTGACAGGTTCAAACAACATATTTTGGATGTGCAAAAGGGTGCCATGAAACCAGTACCGTTGCACTTCAATTCCCAGGACACTAAGGTGTCGTCGACATGGAGGTGTGACAGCCATTAAATCTAGCCACTCCAGCGGCAAGAGTCCGCAAGACTTTTGAAAATCGTTTTATTTACACTTTGGGAACTTTAACACCCAAAGGACTGAACTGCCAACACAGTTTCATTTAAACTCCTAAGGGCATGATTCTCAAACTGTGCGCTGGGGCGCCCCGGGGAAGATGCGTCCTTTTCACAGGGGTGACGCGAAATATTCAAATTTACACAATTAAAATTTTTTTTTCATCTCTTACATAGGAATAGTCATACTTTTACTTAGGTTAATGAGTCGTGGAATGAAAATTAATTGAAAAAAGGCGCTGCGACTAAGAAATGTTTGGGAAACATATATATATATATGTGTATGTGTGTGTGTGTGTGTGTGTGTGTGTGTGTGTATGTATATATATATATGTTTAATTACAGTTGCAACCGACCAAGTATGTGATGTTAGACAAGTTATTCAGCCATGCGAGGACACAGAACAATGCAGTGTGGATGGATGCATACCTAGGTAAGACACAATTGTTTGTTTTCTACCAAATCTAAAGCAACACACTTAAAAGTCCTACGGAGAATTGTTTGTGGCAACACAAATCCATCTTAGCCAAGCGACAGTACATTATAGGTATTGTATGCTCAAGCATGTCTTTAAAGCCTTTGATTCTTTCTTCTGTAGCTATCTACACATATTTTCCATTTTATTTCATTGTATTGGGGTGGTTTGGGGGGGGGGGGTGCTGAGTGGTCTTCAGGTATTGTGTCTGCCTCGGGTGCTGGAGGTGCCGAGTTCAAGCCCTGGTGAAGGCTGGGATAGTTTTTCACGTGAGCTGGTAATTTCCTCTGGTCTTTGGGTAGTAAGACCGGACCCCTGTGTGTATTCTTGCGTACGTAAAAAATCCTTTGGCAGTTGGAAATCGAAAAGAGTAGCCCAACGGCGCTGAGCGGGCAAAAATGTATAGTGAAAAATCTACCCAAAGTATTTCAGGATCCTCGCTGGTGCTACAGAGTTTGTGCACTATGCTGAGACTCTTCATTCGCAGCTTGAGTTAGAAGTAGAACGGAGCACTTATGTGTTACACCCGTGTGCCATAGTGTTGATCCGTCGAATAAACATGAACATGGGTCGCAAACAAGACTGTGCGAATTAAGGTTTATCCAGTCTTCCTTTATAGTCCTAAAAGATGGCTTTGTGGGGGTTGGGGTGTGGGGAATGGGTCGGGAAAAAGGGGGGGGGGGGGGGGGGTCAGATGTTACTTTTCTCTTTGATAATCTTCTTCCTCTTCTTCGCGTTCGTCGGTTGCAAAACTCCGTAGGAAAAATTATGGATGTTTGTCCACTTCTTGACTCTAGTCCTGTTCTAGAGACTAAGTGTTGCTTGTACGTCCGTTTCACAGGCTGAGTTATTTGCATGCAGTATGGGAGTTCCTTGCCTCTCAGGCAGATGTACTCCGACTTAGAAGGAAGCTGCCAATTAGTCGACTCTTACGACATGGTAATGGGCAGACAGTGGGTCTATTTTTGTTTTCCCCACAATGGGACCTTGGAACCCACACGGGGAAGCAAAGACAATGATCTTCATTTAGTGAAGACGTGTTCTTGAAGGTTGTTGCATGTGCGTATCTAAAGTGTTTTTCATCTATGGCAGAGGGGCCAGAAAAATGTTTATAATTCGCATTAATAACTCCTCAATTTCGGGCTATTTGTTTGTTAAAATATTTAACTTTACGCCTGCTTTCCACTGATCGCATCCATTTTCTGGCTTCAGATAGAAATGGTGATTGATTTGATTAAGGTTAGTTGCGTATCCTTTACAGGACGTTGCAGAACCAACCCCAGCAGCCCCTGGCTGTTGTGTGGTTTCTCTAGGCAAATTTACGTCCAGTAGTTTGAAATTCCTCGACATCTGTGCCTTAGACGTTGCGATCACGCTTTGTAATTCCGTGATGCCGGGTTCGATCCCAGCTGCAGGCGATTATGTAACATATCGCCTTTGCGTTAGTTTCAACATTGTGCCAGAGCTAACCGTAAGGAAAGCAGTGGCAAACTATAAAACGCAAATTGCCTTCAGAAGTAACAGTCAAACATTTATGGGGTTGCTTCTGCAACGTCTTTTAATAGACAGGCACCTAACTTTTAAATTGCATATACTGGACAGTGAATGCCGTCTTGTCTTTTCCGAGAAGGATGCACCGACCCTTTGTTTTCTTTTTCTTCTTCTTCTTCTTCTTCTTCTTCTTCTTCTTCTTCTTCTTCTTTGATCCTTCTGTCAGAAAACTTATATCCGGAAGCCGGTAGCCTTTATGAAAGCTATCATGCAGTCAATATCTTCTCGTGTACCATACAGCTTTATCTTCATTGTGGTTGTTACAGGCCGGATTGCGTCTCTGTTTTCAGTATACAGTTGACAGTGTTGGATCACATGCTCAGCATTTTCGGGTGCCAAGCTGCAGGGACACGTCTCCGTATTTCCTACACCAAAAAATTAAAACATATGTTGACGAATTCTATTGTGCCCAGTCCTTAGTCTGAATATAATACACTGTCCCTCTCTAGAGGGGCGATGAAGCGAATTTTGGGAAGAAAATATGGTGTGGGTATCCAGCCACCTTTCTTGGATACTCGTTTGTATTATGGTTGTCACTATTTGGTTGTACCTTGTCACTGCCGCTTCTGGCAAATCTGTCTGCTATTTCATTGCCTCCTAAGCCACCGTGACCTGGAATCCACTGCAGTACATATTTTTCTACTAAAGAGCCTAAGTAAATCAGCTGTTGCGTCAAGTCTACAAACTGAGTGTCTTTTGGGTTAACAATTGCTTGTAGAACTGACATAGCATCAGTCAGAAAGACCACTCTGCTATATTTGCTGTGCTGTTGTCCATTCAGAAAAGAACATGCCGCTAGAGGTGCTTCTGCCTTTGCTCTGTAATTGGAGGAATATGAACCTGTTGGTACAGCCTGGTTGATTTTTAAACCATTTGGGCATTCTATGTATATTCGTCCTATTCCTTCTCTTACTGCTCTCTTGGCTGAGCTATATGTTTACGCTCTAATCCAACTCTGGTGTGGACAAAGTCCGTCCATCTCTCCTTCTGTAGTTGATATCATATCAGTGCTGCTCATTGATGATTTGGAGGAGATCCCTGTTGCAGTGGCTCTGACTGATGACAGGCTATGGGCTGTCAATGTAAGGTTTCAGTAGAACATTTGGTTTTATGGGAGGGAGTTTCAAAGAACCACTAGTGAACTTTTATAGCTCACTAAATCTTAAGATGATGTATTAACCATAATCACCGGAGAATGAACTGGATACCAAGACATCTCGGATAGTACCACAATCTACAGAAATATGTTAAAGCAAAAGGAAAATAAAACATGTCAGCTTTGTATGATCCCAAGCATAAACGACAGGTGATGCTGCAGCTAGAAAGCCTTCATCGGCACATTACATGAATTTACAACACGACAAACAGAACAAGAATACACAAAATCACTCAAATAAAGTATCCGTCAGAAAAACCACAAATCTCATTAGTTGAATGTCTGACACGTATGTGACAACGGGAAATATATTCTAGCCAGGGAAAAAAAAGACATGAACATAAAGGGCCGTAACTCAAAAATGTTAGATAAAACTATTTTGGTTTTAAAGTCACATAGACAACAAACAATCTATGGTTGCAAAAAGTACTATTGCCATATGGGATCTTTACTGAATACTAAGGAAGGAGACGGAGCATGTGTTGGATTGTCCCGATTGTACGAATATTAGTTTTTGATTAACTGATTAATTCATTCATTTGGCTTTTTTTTTTTTTCAGACAACAGCAAGGAGTCGCAAATGGTTTGTACTCACTATCTTCCCCTTTTACGTCTGTCATCTTATATAGCACCAAAAACGAACCTTTAAACGTGTACATTATCCTGCTCTCTATGCATTTGTACAGTCTGTCTGAGAAAGATACTTCGTCCTCTTCTGCTTTTCCTTTTTCTTCTTCTTTTTCTTCTCCTCCTTCTTTCGTTCGCTTGAAATAGACTTTTTCTTCTTCTTTTTCTTCTTCTTCTTCTTTTTCTCTTCTTCTTCTCTTCTTTTTATTCTCTTTCTTCTTCTTCTTCTTCTTCTTCTTCTTCTTCTTCTTCTCCTTCTTCTTCTTCTTCTTCTTCTTCTTCTTTTTTTTTTCTTCTTCTTCTTCTTCTTCTTCTTCTTCTTCTTCTTCTTCTTCTTCTTCAGTTTCTTCTTTTTTTCTTCTTCTTCTCCTCATTCTTTCGTTCGCTTGAAATGGACTATCTCTATTTGCAATGTTGTCTCTTGTATGAACTTCATTGTTGTAATTCAATCAGCGACATGTAAAGTTTGGCCGGTGTTTATCTCGGCTAAACGTGGTATGTTGTAGAAAGATACTGACAATCAAGTGCTAGGTAAGGCAGGTTCCCATATACTGTCGTACTGGATACAGCCTAGCTTTACCAGCATCGATACCGTCCGGATGCAGTCACAAATTCGATGGTCAGGTCACGTTGTCCGCTTGCCAGACCACCGGCTGCCTGAAGCAATCTTGTATGATCGGATACAGAATATTAGACGCTCTCATGGTGGCCAGAAAAATGCACACGCTTCAGTGACGTGCTAAATGAATCACATAGAGCCTTCAGCATAAATTCTGACACGTGGAAGGCTTCTTCACAAGACTGGACAATATGGCGAACGTCTATCCCAAGAGTGGCAGCGACTTGTTAGGCATCTAGGGAAAAAACGGCAGACTAACAACGCAGGCAGACTAAAAGAACCCCTATAACATGCCCTTTACCTACGGACACAGTTCCCTGGACTCAGTGTCCTAGATCCTTCCGGGGCAGTATTAGGCTTACAAGTCACCTCCGGATTCAAAGACAACCAACTATAGTGACTGACGTTCAACACCCACCAGAACATAACACCAAGTGATAAACACCCGGTGACACAAAGCGCCACCACTCGGTCGAGGATCACACAGGGACAGGTCCCAGAAACCCCGTTCAACTCGTAGCTTAGGTTGCATTTTTACAGAACGCCAAATAAAGATCCTCGTTATTTAAATTTACAACCAGGGGTCTCAATGGCCAAGCCGTTTGCCTCGCGCTCTGGAAGTTGTGGATTGATTCCACGGTTGCGCCCTTCAGTTCATGGGTGCAATTTTTACGGAGATCCCCGGGGAACGTCACCGGAGCTACTGAGTTCGTGCTCTCGCCAGGCGACTAGCTGCTCTGCCGAGTGAGACCGAGCCATTTGGGATAAAACCTGATTCAACGAAGTCGATCCTCTCCCATAACAATCCCCAAAGGGAAATCTTGCTTAAAGTAATGTCTGTTTCTCAACAGGTATCCTGATAGTGTTGGGATATGCAGCAGCCTTCATTTTAGCGCTGGTGTTGATCATTCTGTTCTGCTTTTACCGAGTCGCCTACTTAAATAACAAAAGGTAATAGTTCTGTCTGTATTTTATGGTTATTATTATTATTCGCCGTTGCATAGTGGCTAGACGCTCGCGTGCGGATCGGAAGGATGTGAGTTCGCTCCCTTCTGGAGCCGCACTTTTTTCAAAAATGACCTTGACTCCCAGGTCGACCCAGTGGGTACCGGGTGCAGTCCCGAGAAGTAAAGGCTGCCGGCGTGATGCTGACCACATCACCCATCTTGTGCCGTTTGGTCTATAAAAATATAGGTCTAGCCCTTTATGTCGTTTACGCATTAAGGCCTGGAAAAGGGACCTTCACTTCGATATTATCATTATTTTTTATTAGGGTAAGGGCGGGGCAGCATAAGTCGTTGTTCAGCTATAATAGCGTTTGTTGGCACTTGTCTGTTTTTCCAAATGATACTGTTGTTTTGTGCTATGTGAGGGCATGTGAATCCCCGCCTTTGACAATCCGAATGTGACTAGAAAGGCCCATGGTGCAAAACACTGGGCAGTACTATAGAAGCTGTGTGTTGCCCCTGATCTTCTCCTGCGGCAAATTCTTCAGAACGCTTTGTTCCAAGCGTACTGGTGTTACCTTTCCTTTAGAGAAGAAGACGCAGGTCGACTGGGGGATCATGTTATGTTGGCAACAAAGGATCCCTACACTAATATTCAGGCTTCCTGCAATGACAAGAGCACTTTGTTCCTGGCCTTGTTTGGCTGTGAATCCCTGTATGAACAAATGTAGAATTGACATCACTCTACTCAGGACATTCACACATGTTCTCCGTCGCCTTCTTCAGTAACCAACGAAGAGTTTACATACTAAGAGTTCCAACTGCATCTTGATTAAAAGTCCGCCTATGTTTCTCCTTTAATGTTGAATATTTTCCTGAACCTCTACACATCCGCCGTTGAATAAGCTTTTCAATTTATGGACGCCCTAGCTGTTCTATTGCACAATCCATTCGATTATGTAGAGCTTTCACCACATGCGATTTATCATAAAGTAGTTCACGGGCCAGAAGGAACGGCAGCAGCTTATCTATCAGCCTGCTCGTTACCTCACACACCTGAATTTCCTGGACAGAAAATCCACGATAAGCTTTTGATCTGGGTCTTATCGAGTGATGTAACTCACCATGAGCGCAGGACGCCAGTTTCGATTTTCCGAAGCACGCTATATGAGTCTGTTACAATTATAACGTATCGGGCTTTGCTGCTTTCAAGCCATCGGAAAGTTGCCATTACTAGCTCCACCTCAAATCTTACATGTCTTTATATCACGGCATAAAACTGTCGTCTCGAAAGACAGAAAGATGCTAATGGAGACAATAAAAAGGGTCAGTTTTAAAGGTCAGACATTACTTGGGATTAAAGGCAACAATCAAAGTGGACAGAAAGATACAGGAAGAGCTTTTTCTAACTGATGTAACAGTTTGAGGTTTGAACAACGGACCAACATTATGGCACACGGATGTTAACCCATAAGTGCTCGGTTCTTTCTTCTAACTCAAATCTGAATCAGAAGACGCCCAGCACAGTGCACAGGCTATGTAGCACCGGCAACGATCCTGAAATACTTTAGGTAGATTGTTAACTTTTGCCAAGGCAGCGCTGTTAGGCTACTGTTTTCGATTTCCAACTGCCAAGGGAATTTTTACGTGCGCAAAAAAGAACACGGGCGTCCCATTTTACTACCCAGACATCAAACACTAAAAGTCCAAGTTCACGTGACAAAATCCCAGCCCTTACCGGGGATTGAACCAGGAACCTCTAGCACTAGAGGCGGACACCATACCTCGAGACAACGCAGCCCCCTGAAGGATGTTCCAAAGAATGGTAAACTAACTAACATGTTGATTCACACCAATGGATGGAATGGAAAGAATTAGAGACAGTGGTAGTATGTCAAACGGGATATCAACATTGATCGGCTGAAGACCGACTCCTTTTGGGGGCAGAGAATTACAAAAAAAAACGACTGTCGCAATGTGCAAAACGTCAACTGCAGCAAGCTATAGAGAGGAGACGTCCGTGAGAAAACCAGCATCGGCCTAACACAGCATCAACGGTTTTATGTGGCAGAGACTGTCTGTCAGGTACGGGACGTTACTTCTTCTTCTTCTTCTTCTTCTTCTTCGTCTTCGTGTTCGCCGGCTGTAAACTCCAGCGGACAGTTTTGGTTGTTCATCAACCTCTGGACTGAGTCTTTTTCCAGAACCTGAGTGTTGAATGTGCATCCGTTTGACAGACCTGACTAATTTGTATGCTGCTAGTTCCTTGCCTCTCTGGCAGATGCACTCCGACTTCAAAGGAAGCTCCCAATTAGTCTACTCTTACGACATGCTTTTCGGTAGGCAGTGGGTCTATTCTTGTTTTCCCTATAAAAGGGCCCCGGAACTTACACGGGAGGGACGTTACTGTCCTAGCAGACGCTATGGTCCCTTGGAACTGGCGGTTGCCTACCATAGATACAGTTGGTCATAAACTGAAGGACAATTGCTCTTGCAGCACGGCCCTATCATCACTTGCAGGTGAAAGGTTCATTTTTCCCCCCAAGAAACTACGGTAAAGGCCTCGGTTCGAAGAGTACCTTTCTATCTCAAATTCTTCTCTTTGCATCTGTGAATGCAAACCAGTACGCGTCAATTTATCAGTCACTCATCTTCCATCTAATGTTAGTTATGATTTCACCCCTATATATACTCGAATCGATTGATTCTTTGATCTCAGTAGATCAATATAATATGACGTATAGGACATAACTACCGACCCCAAGATATCGGTTCAAAACCCCACCGATATAGATGCTTGTCAAAATTTACCTTGGTTTCCAGGTTGTTAAAAAAAAAGGTAATGAACCTTTCTGCACGCCTTTAAGCGTATTAGGCATATAGGGCTAGAGCTATATTTTATAGACCAATCGGGTAATGTGGTTAGCATCTCGCTGGCTCCCAGACTGACCCTGCCTAAAATTGGAAGCTGATAATATCCTGGGAAGCAAAGGCCGTCTGCGTGATGTTCAGCACAACATCCACGAACCACTGTTTTAACATATGTCCAATAATAACTCTGAACTGAGTTATCAAACAACGGAGGGTAATACTTCAGACACAACCCTAAGGGACGCAATCTATTATTTGTTTGTGGTAACCATAAGGGAGAAGAAAAAATTTTTTTGTACGTTTATATATTAATGTTCTGTAATAGTTAATACTGCTTCAGGTTAGGGTTAGAATTAACCCTATTATCAAATAAAATTAAAAATATTATTTGTGAATTTGCAAAAACAATGGATTACGTCCCCTAGGATCACATTTAAAGTGTTGGTAGATTACAATAGACTGCGTCCCTGAGGGTTGTCATTTGAAATAGTGCCCAACTGAGATTAAGTTAGTGAATACAACAAGTGGATGCATCATGATCAGCTAATTTTGTTAGTCCCAGAATATCACTCATGTACTCCAGTCAAAATGTTATTACGTTTATACAACTGTTATCTATTCAGGGTATACAAATGAGTGTTGTGTGGAGCAGAAACATGGAGAATGACTAATGCAGTTACTAATAAACTACAAACATTCATAAACTGGTGCCTGCGTAGAACAGAGGGAATTAAATGGTTTGATAGAATCACTAATGTTGAGCTTTGGGAGAGAGGTAAAGAGGTTTTAGTGGATGAAAAGGTAAAAAAAGACGCTGGCGTTGGATAGGACATATGCAGAGAAAACCAGAGAACAATATAACTAGAATATCTTGCACTGGATCACACAGGGTAATAGAAATAAAGGAAGACCAAAAAACACATGGAGAAAGGAGCTAGAGAATGAAGTTAAAAAGATGGGGAAGGAAATGCTTAAGAGCTGCATGTATATTTGGCTGTTTTTTCAATGTTTAAAAATTTTAATTTGTTATAATATTACGTTCTTATTAAGTTCTTTCTGTGTTTAACATGCAACAATATGGTGAAACCAGAACAAGCAGCACTGTACTGTACACAAATATGAATTAATTATTTTCTGTTTAATATTAGATATAATGAAATCCTCTCAACAACATTCATCACACAGCACTATTTGGTCCATATGTAAAGCAGTTACTTGGCCGAACAGTTAAGAGCGCTGGACTCTCATTTGATGTCCAAGAATTCTCAATAACACGATGGATTTGTTCTGCCAGGGGCAAATATGAAATCCTAATATGTAAAGTCTGTGGCAACTGCCAGAACCATGAGGCCAACAATCTGCAGGCTCAACAACCCCCTATCCCACAGTGAATTAAAATGTAAACATAGGCAGTAGTACAGACAGCTTTATTACTAATATATTTCTGTTCAAAGTTTACCATTATGCCCCGAGAAGCACAAAACTGACAATTCCTGTTTGGTCCAAATCCCCATAAATGTCAGTTTTCTGACTTGTCTATGGTGACCTGTTTACAAGATGCATTATTAATGTTACTGGCTGTTTTCACACTTGTGCAAATGTTTAGGAGATTCGGATATAAAAACATAAACCCCCCCAAAAAAATTAATTTGTGGTTGGTTCCTCTTAGTTAGATGGCTTTTTTTTTTAAAGCTAAGCTGATGTCAAATTTCCCTGTCAGTCTCAGTCATAGAGGTCACAGGGTCACTCCATGAGTCACCCAATACGTAAGTTTTTTTGGCCTTAGGGAATGTTTTTCATAGAATGATTCACTTTGTTCATGTTTACTGATCATCCCATACATAAATCTTTATATATTTTAACAACACTTCTTTAGTGACCTGTGTAAAACTCTTTTTTCTTTTGAGGATTTATTTAAGGAATTCCAATGGTGTCTTGACCCTTTTTTTTTAAGAGTTCCCGGGTAGAGAGGGTTAAGGTTCTGTTAACTATTTTAAAGTTTATTTCAAAAACACACATCACAAATCAGTTAAGATGAGTTAAGCTGAGTCAAGAATTAGTCATTCTAACTCTGCGCTGGCTGCTGAAGATGAGGTCGAAGCATGCATGGGAATGCCCTGAGTGCTGTGATGTCAATTCTTGACTTGAGTAAACCCAACTCATCACAAATCAGTATCTGGGTAATATTCAAAGCAACACTCAGACAGAACATCTAAATCCTTTAGTATTTGAAACTTATATACATCAATGTTATCAGTATCTTGCCAAAATCGGACGGTTATAAAATCCCCTAAATTTGATTCCTTGATATAAGAAGCTGATAAATTTTTCACATTTCTGAACAAATTACCAGCCGAATTGCCAGGATGGCTTTGTAGTTGTGAAATTATAAATGCATCATGGCAGTATTTCACAAAATTTGACCAGTTGACATGCATGTATGGATCAACTTCGCTGGCTTGAACTTGCAAACGCTGCTCTGTCAACACCACACTTTCTGGAACCTTCAACCTGGCAAGTTTCAAGGGTTCTCCATTTGCTGCTGAAAACTTCTCCTTCCACCAGTCGGGCAGAGGTGATGACTTGCGGGTTTCTTTGTGCACACAAACGGATTGTGTGTCGTTTTCACTCAAGAGGATACCTGTTCCTTGAAGTGAAATTACTGTTTTTATTTTGAAAGCTGTGTTTCCAACGTAATCCAATTTTACATGAATCTCTAGTGGTGATTTTTTAACAGATGCATCGAAAAGTTCTGGCAACATCCTTGTTTCGGTCGAAGCAATAAAAACAAAGTATTTCTCATAAATTTTTCCACAGTCTATAAAACTGTCATTTGCAAATGAAGCCGCTCTAGAGTATTCTACCATTTTAAGCACACTCCAAGGCTGAATACATGCTGCAGAGATAAGAAATAAAATAATTAGCAATAAGTCACTGTCATGTTTATATTTATCTTACACCCATACACTACTGCCAATAGGATGGGTACCAGTTTTAAAGTTATCTAAAATGTCTGGCTAAAAATAATGACATATAAAAAAAAATATTCTGCATGTATATAACATAGCATACATAACATAACCCTTGACCCATTAGGGTCGTGGAGGTGTGTCACGAAATGGCAGTGGTACACCACAGAAAACAACTCTATTGTGAGGGAGATAGCTTACTCCAACGCAACTGACATACCTATCAGCAGTGCATGTAAACAAATGAGGTCATAGAAAACTTTTATTATTTTTTGCCAATCACATAGTAGCATAGCAGTTATTACATTGTATGATCATAACTGTTTACCCACCTCATCTAGTCTTGTTTACTACGGTGAGAGTAGGCTGGGAGAGAAAGAGTGTGAAAGATACCTTTCTCATTTTTTCCTTACTTATCTTTCTGGGAGCTCAAGTATCTACTGATAGGAGTGTGCGCGACAGAATAACTAGACTAGCCTGAGCTTGCTACTTCCAGAGCTTCCCCCTAGTTTCATAACCTTCACGAGCCAAAATTTATTGAGACTGCGGACGCTGGCATGAGTAGGGAAGTCTAACTACTATAGACCTCTCTTATATATCCGCATATCGCCACAAGGTGTAATCGATGAAAGCACTAGCACATAAAACCTGTCAAACCCGCCATCTTTCTCTGTCTTCTGCTTCGATGAATAAGTGTGTGATAACTTAGTCCTATCCATTTCTTGATGTTGCCATTCTAGGTTCTTCTTTGCCCTCCTCTTCTTCTACTACCCCCCAATGTTCCTTGAAGTACAGTCTTTGCAACTGAATACATGTATATGTAATCCTTCAAATTGAAATGCTACAGAAAGATTATCAGAACCCCATGGACCAAGAAGAAAAGAAATACGATCCTAAAATATTTAAACATCAAGAAAGATTAGCTAGCAAACATTATCTTACTTCGGAAACTGAAATATTTTGGCCATATCAAGTGCCACAGCAGATTGGAAAGAACAGTACCAGAAGGCATGGGGCCAGGAATTCTTCTTCTACGCATTTACCAGCTGTAAACTCTGGCGGAAAGTTTTGGTTGTTCATCCACGTCTGGACTGCAGTCCTGTTCTAGAACCTGTGTGTTGTGTGTGCATCCGTTTCACAGATCTGACTCATTGTCATGCAGACTGCTGGTTTCTTGCCTCTCAGGTAGATGCATTCCGACTTTGAAAAAAGCTCCTAATTAGTCGACTCTTACGACAGGCTTTTGGGTAGGCAGTGGGCCCCAGAACCTACATGGGGATGCCAGGAATTAGGGTAGGGGCTGACAGCACAAGATGGGCACAGGATATCAGTGACACAGTGAGTAGGAAAAAGCACAAGGCAGAAGATGTAGTGAGATACAGGGTTTCTTTCAGGCAGGCAATGATGACAACAACATTCTACACAGGACCTGCTACATGAAAATGATATGTAAAGTAAATTATGTAAGTGAAAAAACAAATAGGTAAAGGATCCTTTTCCACACCTTTTAGGCGTATAGGGCATATAGGGTTAGACCTAAATTTTATAGACCAATCAACATAAGATGAGTGATGTGGTCAGCATCACTCGGGCAGTTTTTACTTCGCGGGACTGCATCTGGTACACCCTCAAGGCTGGGTCGACTTAGAAGCCAAAGTCATTTGTTTTTAAAGTCCGGCTCCGCCAGGGAGTGATCCCATGATTAGGGGCGAGCATCTAGCCGCTCCGCTACAGCGACTCCCAAGTAAAGTATGTGTCATAATTTAATTGGGGTGTTTGTTACATACACAAAGGGACATTTGTTTTTTTACTATATAAATTTGCCTCGACTAAGACTATGTCTTGACTATAAAAAGTTACAACCGTCAGAAGCCAGAAATATCTCAGACAAAGCACATTCATCCCCACTTTAAGCTAGATATGCTCACTAGCAATTTTAAAAAAGATTCAAGCTGGCTTTACCAGGCAAGAATGGATTGCAACACTAAGCACTTCACGAATAGCTAACCCTAACCTTCATCTTTGTGCCAGGTCATGTGGGTGTTCAAGGGAACGAGCATGCAGACTATCTTGCGAACACAGAGGTTGCTATGGCTGGTCCAGTACTGGACAGAAGTGATGTTATCAATGCCATGCGCTGCACTTACTGTACCGAGCAGCACGTCAAAGGACATGACTCCGTATCCCTGTCTAGACTGATAGCAACTTATGGATGTAACTCCTGACCCAAAAGAAAAACTTTTCCATGCCTTTAGGAGTAATGGGTATATAGGGCTAGACCTATATTTTATAGACCAATCCGCACAAGATGGATGATGTGGTCAGCATCACGCCGGCTGCCTTTACTTCCCGGGACAGCACGGCTGGGAGCCAACGAGTGACAAACTAAAAATAACCAGCCAATCGTGATCAAACCTCGTGGTTAGTCATTTTGAATGGCTGCCAACACCTGTTTGGATTTACTTTGTGTTGTTTAATGTGAAAAAATTCTGAAAATTCATAATGAAACGAGCGGCTGATGAACCAAGCACTTCGACAGGAAAGTGAAGTAGGTCTAGGCTTTTCACAGTCCAACAGGTCATCGATTCAGACTCTGAGGAGTGAGAATTTCATGAAGAATGTGTTCCAGGTTCATATGACACACTCCATGAGAGATCGATTGATAAGGAGAATCCTGAAAATTATAGATCTAGAATGTGATCAACAGTAAGGGGGCGTGTCCCTCAAACAGCAACATCTGGTGCTCACTTTGTGAAACAAGGCTCGTCCTGCTGGGGGGACTGGCACACAAAGGTGAAATATTGGCCCTAGATGAAGGGTAAACCTATTTTCTACAATGTCTTCATGCTTCATCTTATTCTAACCACTTGTTTGCATGTAACTAATATTTGTGTATATTATGTTGGTTTTTCCTGTTAATGCCCAGCAGCTCAGGTATAGGGGGCAGTTAGGTTCAGTGCCTCAAGTCTGGTAGGGTTAACAGCATCTTGTTCAGAAAGCTGAAATATTTTGGCCATGCCAAACATCATGGCAGCCAAAAACAAAAAAGGTAACTAGGGGTACCGTTTTCACAAGTGAGGGAGAGGCCGACTTCCAGGAAGGGCAAACAAGACAATCAAGATGCACTGGCTATGAAAGCACATAAGGCTGGAGAATTGGCTAGAGCAGCGATTCTCAAACTGGGTGCCCTTAGCGTATGCCAGGGGTGCCCCGACAATAATCAAGAATTTTCAAATTTACTTGAGATTAGCAAAGACAGCAGTTTAAAACATAAATCCACGAAGGAAGCCAAGAAGAGTTCTGGATGCAGGAGTATTCAGATGACAATGCTACTGGCAAAACTGCATTGCATTCTCAACGTATGCTTACATTAAAAAAACAGATACAGGAGCAACCTTCAAGTAATTTGAGGGTACAATTAACTAAACTTCCCATAAATATAAAAAAATAATGAAAAATTCATCAACACAGTTTCATTCATTGCATTAAAGACAACTGAACATTAAATGTGTACTGTTTTTGATACTTTTCCTAAGTATTCAAACAGCTTAAGGAGTAGGTGTGCAGCAAAATTGTTTTGGCCCAAAAAGGGTGTCGCGGTGAAAAATGTTTGAGAAACACTGGTCTAGAGAAAGGGAGACTTTCAGCCGTGCCACGACGAGAGCGACGTTCTGTAAATAGCCTGCTGATTAATGATGATGAAGCCCAATTAAAGAACGTGCCTTGTGGTGCGATACTATACAAAGTATGAGCCAAAACAGAGCGGCATAGAGCCTAAGGCTCGCCTAGAACAAGATGGAAAGATAGCATCAGAACATTGAAGTTTGAGCAATGGATCAACATCATGGCACACGGGTAGTTACCCATCAGTGCTCCGTTCTTCTTCTAACTCAAGTCTGAGTCCGAAGAAGCTCAGCATAGTGCACAGGCTCTGTAGCAACGGCGTGCATCCTAAAATACTTTACCAAGATTTTTAACTATAAATTTTGCCACGGTAGCGTCTTTAGGCTACTTTTATCTATTTCCAACTGCCAAGGGACGTCCGATCTCACTACCTAGAGACTAGGGGGAATTACGAGAAGTCCAAGTTCACGTGAAAAGATCCCAGCCCTTACCGAGGACTGAACCCGGAAACAATATCAAGTTTCTACAGTTGAGATGGCCAGAAGACCGAGATTTAGATTTTGTATCTCACTTGACAGTTAAAGTTGTAAAAGAGGAGGTGAAAAGGTAGTATAGTGACAAATTAAACTTTACCAGGAATGGGTTATTATGACCCTGGAGACATCATGCACATTTAGAAGTTACCTTGGCCATTATATGCTTCATACGGAAATCCTCCGGGTGCAATCAGTTTGCAACTAAAGGCATCCAGTATCTGGCAAGAAAAGTTTGTCTGGTGGGCGATTCTGTGGAGATATTTTTGTAGGTTAAAGGTTAAAGTCGAGTGGATTGACTTTATTGCACTGGGGTTTTGTCTCATATAGCTCGGTCTCTCTCCGCAGAATGGCTAGCCGCCTGCCGAGCGCTGCAGAACACAAACTCCGTAGGTCTGGCAACAATCCCCAGGAACCTCTGTAAAAACTGCACTCGTGAACTGTAGGGTGCAGTTGTGAAAAGAACCCATGACCTTCACAGCACAAGACAAATGGCTTGACCACTTTGCCACAGAGATCCCCAGATGCATTTATTTTGAAACAGGATAATTAAACATAATAACTGCAACTGAAAACTAAGTCCACCACATGAATATTCTGATCTTTTTCGTGATTCAGTCTTTTCATAAGCAAAATAAAACAAAGCAAAGTAGAGGACCCTTATCAGCACTTCAGGCATACTGGGCACATAGGGCTAGACCTCTATTTTATAGACATCAGCACTTAGTGAGTGATGCAGTCAGCATCACTCCGACCGCCCTACTTCTCAGGACTTTATCTGGTACCTATTTACGGCTTGATGGATCTGGGAGCCAAGGCAAATTTTTGAAGAAAAAAACATCTTGTGATGCTGGGTGCTTTATTAATATCCTACCCCAGATGACGTCACAGGACAGTCAAACATTTTAGAGGGTGGTTAGACTAGGTTTTCCGGCTTTCTGATACTTTTAAAGACCCTAGAACAAAGAGAACTGGCCCTAACCCCAACCCACCTGCGTCCCATGAGAGAGCGCATCCTAGATCCCACGACTGCATGCAGCCTAGGTCCCACGACTGCATGCAGCCTATCTAACACCCCCTGAAATATCTGACTGTCCGGTGACCTGTGGATTTCCCCTGTTTGGTATAGGATGTTAATAAAGCACCTGAATCTCAACATAACACAAGACCTTCTGGCATCAGATAAATGTCTAGCGCCTACTGTGCTGCTGCCCACTACATAATGTATTGGATTGTTTAAAAAAATCCTTTTTTTTGTTGTTGTTGTTTTTGTTTTGTCCCTGGATTGTCATGGTCTTGTATGAACATTAGACTGCTTTTTGCTTGGGTTTGTTGAGCTTTGAATCCTGTAGTATCGCACCTGACCTCCAACAGAGGTCTGCCATTTCCCCATTACTTGTCAATGTGTACACATGCAAGGTAGCAGCATTAGAGGCAGTAGGTATTGGAAGAATTCTGACTTTAGGTGGCAATGTTTCAGACATGACCGACTCTATTTATAGGCCAACTAGGTCAACAGGGATTCCCGTTCTTGTGCAGGTAGAGAGGCTGCTCTGTGTTCACAATTTTTATCAAGTAGATTTATATACAAATTAAAATACAGCTGGAGCCGGTCGTGGTTTTAGACTATGGGCAGGGAAGAAACATAATAGAAATATCTAAAGAAATGCAGGCCGTAGCAAACAAGGTAAAAGTGTTGTGTGATAGGTTCTTCCATGAATTTTAAAAATCTGGCTTTTTGCAGACCGTTGGTTCCTTGCTTATTAGGCAGATGCACTCCGACTTTGAAGGATGCCCCCAATTAGTCAACACCTATGACAAGCTTGTTGGGAAGACAGCAGGTCTACTTGCTGAGTTTCTTATGGATGTTTCTTTGTTTGTCTACTTGTTGAGTTTCTTATGGATGTTTCTTTGTGTTTCTACTTGCTGAGTTTCTTATGGATGTTTCTTTGTGTTTCTACTTGCTGAGTTTCTTATGGATGTTTCTTGGCATGTCTACTTGTTGAGTTTCTTGCTGATGTTTCTTTGTGTGTCTACTTGCTGAGAAGAGAAAAGAATGATTATAAAGCATAATTTTGACTTACTTTGAAAATGTCTGTCCAGTTACAAAACGTGAAGCTAACGACATGTTTTCTGGAAGGCAACAAGTTAATTAGTTTGCATAAACTTGAAATTAATTAATTAATTAATCTGCATAAAGCTGACACACACACACAAAATGAATTTGCTCAACAGCAGAATACAACCTATGAATTAGTTTGCATAGGATCAGAATACAACAAATGACATGGTTTTATCAAATTTGAATGTTGAATGCTAAATGTTGACTTCAGAATTGACATCACAGCACTCAAGACACTCACATAGGTGCTCTGTCTCCATCTTCAGCAGCGAGCAAAGTGTTTCAATTTCAGATGGCACCATAAACTGTCTGTTTATCCATCTCACCTTTTTCTTGAATTTTGAGCATTTGCCAGATCCCCTGGTAACTTCTTGCAGCGGCATTCTCCTCAGACCACAAAGATCTATTTGTGCCTCCACACTGTTCAATCACTTCCAAAGGACCCTCATATCTACCTCATCAGTTCATCCCTATGTGGTGCAGAGCCAGACAGTCTAACTACCCAGGACCTCTGAAGCGATGCTTGCCATTCTGCACAGATCATGTCCGTCTGTACCTTTCTCAACATTCTTTGTGAGTCAGTTACATTAGGGACATGTGTGCACAGATGTTTCTCAAGCCAGTTAAAGGCAACAGTGACTGCCTCCACCTTCATTCTCAAACTAAATATTTTGATATCATATGCCAGGCTTTGTTGCACTAAGATACGTCCATTTGCTTATCAGGTGTGAAAACAAACAAATCAATTTCTATAAATCTGAACTACAACAAATTAATAAGTTTGTATAGTGTTGGAACACACACAAAATTACCCCACCCTTTGTTCTTCCCATCATTCATCTCAATATCTAATTATTTGTTTCTGTGTTTTTTGGTCATCTGTTTCTTTCAGTACAAGGATATTTTAGTTAATTACTAGTAAGTTGGTTAATCTTTTCTCTCGAGCCCATGGAGGCGCATTGGGCAGAGGTCATAGCTCTCCATGTCTGGCGTTTCGGTGCCACCTGTTTGAGGTCTTGAATGTTCATTAGGCCCACGGTTGAGCCTTCCCTGATGATAGTTCTACACAAGGTCTCTCTTGGTCATCCCTGTTTTCTTTTCCCTTCCGGTGTCCATATGGCGGCTTGTTTTATTCATTCTCAGTGCATGGTCGATGTAGTTTCAATGGCGCTTTTTTATCAAATTGGATACACCATCTTGCTTGGTCTCTTGTCTTATTTGCATACTGAATCTGAAATCTGCCCAGAGGAGAATTAGTATTTTTCTAAGATGTTTGCTCTCAAAATTGTTAACTATTAATTAATAGTATAAAACTAATCAGTTTCATCAGTGTGTCCTCTTATCCTTGAAAGGTTTAAGGTTTTGAGCAAGGGATCAACATCATGGCACACGGGTAGTAGCCCATAAGTGCTCCGTTCTTTTAACTCAAGTCTGAATCCGAAGAAGCTCTGCACAGTGCACATGCTCTGTAGCACCGGCGAGGATCTTGAAGTACTTTAGGTATATTTTTAACTGAACATTTTGCCCGGACAGCACCGCTAGGCTACTCTTTTCGATTATCAACTGCCAAGGGATTTTGTATGTGCGCAAAAATGCACACGAGCGTCCGACCTTACTACCCAAAGACCAGGGGAAACTTCCTGCAATATGAGGTACAATCGAGGACAATGAATAAGCAATTAGTATGATGACCTAGCCTTAAAATAATGCACTGGAACGCGGAGGGAGTAAATACTAAGAAATTAGAATTAGAAAACGTCTTGAACGAAGAGAATGTACATGTATGCTGCCTACAAGAGACTTATCTCAAACAAGATATGGCCTTTAAGATCAGAGGCTACCAGTGTTTCCGATCTGACCGCAAAGACGGGAGAAAAGGTGGAATTCTTACCCTGGTCAAAAATAACATCCTTGCGGGCCGGATCGAAACATACATGGAAGGTGCTGAGTATCAAACACTTGAGCTCAAGTTAGAAAATACAGATTTACATCTGACCAACTATTACTGTCCGAGCGACCGCCCTCAGGCACTGGATACAGTACTAATAAATGAAAAAATGATCATTTGTGGGGATTTTAATAGCCATTCCCAAAGTTGGGGCTACGATCATATGGACCAGAGAGGAGAGAAACTAGAGGACTGGCAGGATGAGAATAGGTTCATCCTCGTTAATAAGCCAACCGACCCACCAACCTTCTACTCTAGAGCATGGCATACCACCTCGACACCAGACCTAGCCTTTCACTCAGCAGACATGGAACTGAATGTTACCAGAACTGTTGGGAAGCAACTAGGAGGCAGTGACCACCGGCCACTCTTTCTAACTATAGAAAGCCAGTCTGTAAGAGAGAGCAGCACACTGCCAAGGTGGAATTTTAAGAAGGCAGACTGGAAGTTGTATCAGCTTCGCACACATGTTCTGCTGGAAAATTTAAACACAGATAACGACGTAGAAAAAGTAGTCCAAGAGTTGAGCAAACGCATGCTGCAGGCAGCCCTAGAAGCAGTTCCAAGAGGTGCGCGTAAACAATACAAACCGTACTGGAATTGCGATCTGGAGCAACTGCACAACAATATGGAAACAGAAAGAAAACAAGCTGAGACCAGACCTTGTCAAGAGCAGTTTAACAACTACCAACATTCAAAGGCCAAATTTCAAAGAGCCAAACTGCAGGCTAGACGGGCAAGCTGGCAAGAAAAGACAAAGTCTCTAAACTTTTAAAGAGACACAAGGAAGTTGTGGAGGTTAATTAAGCAAATTAATGATGAGAATACAGGAAGAAATGGTAATATTGCACTATGCAAAGAGGGAGCCATCCTAACAAGAAAACAGGCAGCTGACCACTTTGCAGATTATTTTGCAGAAGACAGCAACATTAATGTCAGCCCAGAGAAACAGCGAGAGGTTCAAGAAAACAAACAACATATAAGACAAAAAGATATAATTCCTGAGGCACTGGTGGCAGCATTTACATCCAGCGAGTTAGCAATATCAAAGCTGAGAATGGGAAAATCACCTGGAATTGATGGTATCACCAGCGAAATGATCAAGAACCTTGGAACAACTGCCAAAAAAAAGCTGCTTCAGATCTTTAATCATTGTTGGACCAGTGGCAAAGTTCCTCAAATATGGAGAGAAGCAATCACAATACCTCTGCTTAAACCAGGAAAGGACAGTTCTGATGCCTCCAGCTATAGACCGATCAGTCTTACCAGCTGCCTCTGTAAAACAATGGAACGTATTGTCAACCTTAGACTCCAATGGTACTTGGAAAGTGAAAACATTTTTACGCCGCAGCAGGCAGGATTTAGACAGTGCTACTCCACAGAAGACCAGACAACTTAACTTTCACAAGAAATTGAGGATGCCTTCCAGGAAAAGAAGCTAGTGCTAACGGCATGGATAGATCTGAAGAAAGCCTTTGACAAGGTCTGGAAAGAAGGTCTACTGAAGAAACTGAGAGACTGCAGGGTGAATGGGAGAATGTACAAATGGGTGAAAGCATACTTGTATAACAGAAGATCCCGAGTACAGATAGATGGACTTAAGAGTAAGAAAGTTTTGCTGCGCCATGGCGTCCCACAAGGAGGTGTTCTGTCCCCCACACTCTTCCTAGTCTATATCAACGACCTGCTTTCTGAACTACCCCATGGAATTAAAGCTGCAATGTATGCTGATGACTTGGTACTCTGGTGTACAAATGAAAATGCGACAGTGGCCACCAGGCTGCTACAAAGAGCCATAGATGCAATGGCTGATTGGGCCAACAAATGGTGTGTCAGCATCAACATAAGCAAATGCAGCACCACCCTCTTTACCCTTTCTCCTAAACAAAAATCAGGTGTCATGCATATAAATGGAGTACCCCTGAGAGAGGATAAGGAGCCCACATACCTCGGCGTAACGTTTGATGATAGATTAACATGGAGAAAACACATCAACAAGGCAGCAACCAAAGCCAGAAGGAGGGTAGCCATTCTGAGAAAACTAAGTGGAACCACATGGGGTGCTAGCGGGAAAATACTTAGAAAAGTTTACCAACAAAGTGTTCGACCACATCTTGAATACGGATCAACAGCATGGAGCTCGGCATCAAAAACCACATTGCAAGAATTAGACAAAGTGCAAAATCAAGCACTCAGAGTTACCACAGGCAGTATGAAATCAACACCTATAGCTGTGATGGAGAAAATGGGGATGACCCAAGCACTGAGTGAACGCAGAGACACCAAGATGCTTTTATAAGCAGACAAGTTTCTTAGTATGCCCAATCACCCTATGAATGAAAGATTCCAAAATTTAGCTTTGGGACGACTAAAGAGAAGTAGTTTTATCCACCAGGCCAAACGGCTCGGCAGACAAATCACTGATTTACCTGCAACTGATAGATCCTTAAATGCTGTCCCAGAACGGACCCCCTGGAGAGAGGAGTATAAGTTTCCAATACACATCAAGACTGAAGTGAAAGGGGTATTTGACAAGGAAGAACAAAACAGTGTGCAGCGCAAAACAGCCACCCTCAGTCTACTTGATGATGAATACCCGCAGAACCTTTGGGTCCGTGTTTACACAGATGGGTCAGCAGAAAGCACAGTCAGAAACGGAGGTGCGGGAGTGTACATTGAGTATCCTAATAATATACCAGGGATACAGCCAAATTACCAACGGGAAAGCACTGTCACAACTATGATGCAGAAGTTCAAGCCATCAAGATAGCGGTAGAGAAACTACTAAATACAGGGTATTTTTCACAACCAGTGGTATTCCTGACAGATGCAAAAGCAGTACTTCAGTCACTCCAGTCTGGAAAATTACCAAGCATACGGACACTATTATCCGAACTAGGCAACCGCTGTAAATTAGTAATGCAGTGGATACCTTCCCACTGTGGAGTTCCCGGAAACGAAAAAGCTGATAAACTAGCTAAGGAAGGTGCAACTGAAGAACAACCTAACATACCAGTCTCTTATCAACAGAAGAAGAGAATGATCAAATCAATCAGAA